AGAAGGGGGGGGGGATTTGGTGGTGATAATAATAAGTAAGTAGACAATTAGTAGTCAAGTTGAGAACATGAACGCTAGAAATGTAGTGTAGCCGATTTTGGTATAGAAGTTAAGTGGCGATTAGATTTGGAATATAGGATTGTTTAATGTAAAAAAAAAAAAAAAAAAAAAAAAAAAAAAAAAAAAAAAAAAAAAAAAATATAAAATATGGAAGAAATAACATTAGGAATGAACTTGGATAATTTAAGGGTATAAGGAATGAAAAGTTATTAAAAATATAAGAGCTAAGAGAGACGAAAGGTGTTATTATGAAAGCCCATGAGATGATAAGTTTTAGGGTAACGTAAGAGGTTAAGTTAAAGAGAAATTGATAGTTAAGTTGAAAGCATTAAAAATCTTTGTAGAGGCATGATAACTGGGGGTACAGTTGCACCAGTCTATAGTAAGAATATTATAGGGAAAATAGAAATTGTATAGATAAGAACTGAGAGAGATAAGATATAGATAAGAACTGAGAGAGAGTGACCTCGAGTCGCCCCGTGATACTAAAAGACAACGAAGGTTATAAGACGATTTTTCTTGAAAAGTTTTGGATTAAAGTAGCAGTTTCTGAACTTTTGATTAAGAAAAGTTTTAGTAATAATATATATAAATTAAACGAGTTACTTCTTATTATTATAAACGAATTAAATTTCAATTGTTTTGTGTTTGAAAACTATGTGTTAAGTTTTCATGAAGAAATGTCTCGTGAAAGGTTAAATATTTGTTTTCTTATTAAACCCAGTTTTATTGTAAGATTTTATTCAATAAAGATTTCTAAAGATTTGTAGCTATCTGAAGATAGTATTGGAGATTTAGGTAATAACTCGTTTTTTTTTTCTAAATATAGATTTTAATGTTTGAGTTTTCCTTCTATTTTGAGAAATGTAATCATGGTCCTATTTTGCTGACTGAAACGGTGAGTTTTAATTAAAACGGGGTGTTTTGGCATTGTTTAAAAGTTTGGTTCAAGTTTGCTGTGATAGAGACAGAGAGATCAAGGAGGGAGAATACAATGAAAATTACTGACTTAGAGTTTTAGAATGTTTAGTTTGTCTGATTTTCTTTGGATATTAATGAAACACCCTTAATTTTTATTTTTGAAACTTTTGAACTTTTATTAAATCAAAAATCTGAATTTTCGAATGTCTGGACTGCAAATACTGTTTAATTCTAATTCGAGCCCAAGTGTACGGAGTTGGGCTCAAGCCCAAATCATATTATTAAATATTTGTCGAGTGGAGAACCTTTAGAAATTTTTAAGAGTAACTATGGAGCACTAATTATTAATAACTTTATTAAAATATATAATGTATATGTGTGTAATTAACTATATAAATTAATTAATATAAAATCTATTAGTATTCTTATTAATTATTTAAGTAAATTGAGGAGATGTTCTAGAACCTAAAAGCTAAAAGAATCAAAATAATAATCAAATCCGGATTAGAAAACCAAGCAAATCGAGCCGAATCAATTGAATTAGAACCAAACGGTTCGAATTCGAACCGGAATGGTCTAGAAGCTGTCACGATTTCCTTTTCTTTCTTTTCTTTCTTTTTTCTTTTTTTCTTTTTTTTCTTTTTCTTTTCTCCTTTTCTTCTTGTCCTTCCTGCGCCACGCCCTCTCCTCCTCTCATTTTCCGATCACTGGAGACCAGTGCCACACCTTGCAGTCGCCTCCTCGCCGCAGCGGATTCCGGCATCCCTTCTCTCCTTTCTTTCGTTTTTGGCGTACGCAGAAAGCGCAGGAGAGCCGCGACATCCTTTAATAGGAAAGTCACGTCGAGCCTCCTGCTCCTCGATTTTTTGACGACACCAGCCTCTCTCTTTCGACGAAGAAGCTTGGGTCTCCTTTTTTGTGCTCCCTCCTCTCCCGTTCCGGCTGATGCAGCAAGCTGGCGGAGCTGCGATCATGGCTCGCGATCTGTACAGTCGCGTTATCTGCTCTCACCTTCAAGTTTTCGACATTTTCCAGCTGAGTAAGTAATTTCCTGCTCCATTCTTTGTGTTTTATGAATTATTTCGACTAAATTGAAGGAAGAAGTGATATAAAAATAGAATTTCTTAGCTACTGTTATGATGATTAACTAAGAAATTTTGATAAATAAAAATATAAATGGAAGCTATAAATTGAATTTACATACAAAATAGTTAGATTATTGAATCTATTATGAGTTTTTGTAAGGAAATGATTATTCGTTATTGTAGGTATTATTGGAGAAAGGAGTTCATTGGCCTGTAATGTACCGGCTATATTCAGAAATCTGATTTCTTTATTTTGGCAGTGGCTAGTTGATAAAATTTTATGAGTTTTGCTAAAATGAGTTCATATTATTGCTATATATATTTATTTATGATTCGTATTTAACATTGTTGTTGCTAAGGATGTGATTGACAAAGAAATGTGAACTATAGTTCTTGCAGCAATAAAGTTGGATATTGGTTAATACGCAAGTTTCTTGACGAATATATAAATGAAGGAATTAGTTTATAGAAATTGAAGGGTTGAGTAAGAACCTGATTTTTTTTTAGGATGGCCCAATATTGAGTGTTCCTATAAATTTTTGTAACGATTTAAATTTTTGTAATGATTTGATGAAAATAAAGTTGTATATTAATTCTATAATAAGGAATGGAGTTAAGTAGTGTATAAATCATAAGTGTAAGTGGAGAACTTGAAGAGTTCTCATGGTGGCAGCAGCTGTGTGGAAAATTTGTTACTATTTGAGTTTCAGTAGGCCATGATTAGATAGTTTGTCTCAATTAATAGTTAGCTGACTTTTCTGTAATAAATAGTAGAATTCTAGAATCGTCTAAATGGTTACCGAATTGTTCAGCTCTCTAAATTGTAATATGATTAGAGACTGTTTAAGATTGTAAAGGTTAGCATTGATTTTTAGTGGCTAGTTTGGAATTTAACTTATCGATGTAAATTTTATTTATAAAGTGTACATTCATTTGATAATTAGGTAGAGGACAATTAATAAAATCATTGGAACATGTTGGAGGTTATTATAATTTGTAGATTTATTTAGTGAACGTTAACATACTTGTACTGAAAGGGGGATGGGACTTAAATTGTTGATTGCCCGACGGATGGGCTGTGTGCATTGATTGATAATTATATATAATATTGTGATATTTGAGTAGGTAGATAGTCCAATTTTTTAGGGGAGGTGCTGCCGAAATTTCGATAGAACTTAGACTAGTTTTAAGTAATGACACAATTAATAAGTCTATTTAGATTTGGTACATAATTTCCCTATAACTTAATAAAATAGTTAAATGGAGTGCCCTAAGACTAATTTATTATTTTTCAATTATTATTCATCGAATTATTCAATTATTTATTATTTATTTATTTAATTTCAATCAATTGTTGTTCATTGTTAATTTTTATTATTTATTAAGATATTTGCGTTTGAGAATGGATGTCTTAATTGTGCATTTCATTTACGATGTTCAAACTAATCAAAATATGTCTTGCATTTGAATTGCGAAGTTTGATTAATGTGGGGGGGGGTTTTTTTTTTTTGTGATATTGCTGTGCCTTATTTGTGTGGAATTGGGATGAAGTGGGTCACGATGGGTTTGTGAGACTGATTCTGTTATATGGATCCTGATTCTGATTCTGTTATATGGATCCTGATTTTGATTTCTGTTAGCTGGGTAAATGGGAGATTGGCGCCCCCGTGTGTACCTACTGTTCTGATCTGTATGTTCTGGAAAACCACAGGATGGCTTCTTGTTGTTGGCACCTGATAATCCAGATTTGATTGTAGCCCGCAAGGGTGGCCTCCTATTGTGAGCACTTGATGATCGAGATTGGATGGAGACCACCGGGTTGCCTCCTGTTGGTATATATATATATATATATAAGAGAAATGGAAAAATAATGAGAGGACTGTCAGTAGGATTAAGAAACAGTTGGCCGTTATGGGGGATCGGCTCCCGGTGCACATGTACGGAGGGCGAGCCATGTGTAGGACGGCTCGTTGGGGTTTTCAGGTGGTGCCTACTGCTAATTTCCAACGGATGTGATTATTTGAAGGTGAATATTGTTTGTGAGTGCTGGTGACATGCCATTTGTTGATCTGGCGCGTGAGCATATAACTAGTCGGAATGACTAGATTGATATAGTATTATATTTATACAATTGTGTGAGATGTGGTTGTGTTGTGGCAATATATAGTTACTTACCTTAGAAAGCTCAACATACTTGTTTAATTTTTCAGCGAAATAAGTTTCTTTAATTCGGCTTAAAGCTATGTTCTTTCGTCGCAGAGCAAAAAGAAAATTTTCTCTAAAGACAAATAAATATTTTTGCTATGTATCTAGATGTATAAAAAATCTATGTATATCTATGAGTTAGTGAATCCGCAAGTTGTAGAATTTACTTAACATTTAGTCGTGGTATTATCGTAGACGAAATGAATTTGTGAGCCATATTAGAATTGTGATGTAATTGTAAAATTGGCCCGAACTGTGAATTTTGAAGATAGATTGGGGCGAGATGTAAATAAAATCTTAAGGTTTATCTTGTTTTTTAAATATGGGCTGAAAATATTTAAAATTTAGAATATTTAAAATTTATATTGAGATAGCTAATTTTAGTGTTTCAGGCTTACTACGGGCCTCGGGGGCCTTAAGCTTACCTGGGCCCTAGTGCCGGTCCGGCCCATGGAATCGGGTCGTGACATAGACGAACTAAAACAGCTTTGTGGGAAAAAACACTTAACATGTCCCGTGATTGATATTGTTAACCAATGCTGTGTATTGTGTAAAAAATGGATTTTTTTGGGTAACAGGTGGCCAGAAGCGAGCCGATCACATCTTGATTGGGCCTAGCATCGCCATGGGGGCGGGGTCTTAAACCCGGCCCATTTTCAATTTTGTATTTGGGTTGGGCTTTAGCTTATTTTGGAGGAGAGGACGATTTGGCCTCCTATATTGATCAGTCTAGAGACACAGGGTCAGCCTTTCTTCTTCAACCTCTCTGACGAAAACCCTAGAGGTGCTTCTCGAAGCTTGTCTTCATATTAGAAAAATTCGATTTATTTCCATCGTCAACCTTTCTGCAGTTCCGTTTATATTATTGTATCGAAGGCTTAAAAGAGTTTGATAAATCACGTCGATTATATTCAGCTATGGTGCGCTTCTCTCTCTTACTATCTCAATTTTGTGCCATATGTTTTTATTGCTTTTGTTGTTTTGTAAAGAAATGATTTTTAGGTCATTTTCTTCCCTTTTTATTTTTATTTTTTTTGTATAATTTGTAGACCATTCCAACAATTTTCTAATGTTATTTTTGCTCTCCTGTTGCTATATATATATATATATATATATATATGATTATATATATATATATATGGCAACATTCTGATTCTTGAAATTCTCCGGTGATAAAGCTGTTTTCTTTTTCTTTTTTAATGTCTGTTATGCGATTTTCTCTTGGTGATGCACGTTGGTCGTGGTACAATTGTGGTGATCAAAATTTCAAAGATGTCAAATTTTCAAAATTTTCGTTAGAAGCGAAAACTGGAGAATGAATGAGCCAGGTCTGTTTTTTCCTGTTGAGTTTGGATTGTTATTGAGAATGCAACAATGTGTAAATCCACCTCCTTGACGATTATATATATATATATATATATATGAACATTCTGATTCTTGAATTCTCCGTGATAAAGCTGTTTTCTTTTTCTTTTTAATGTCTGTTATGCATTTCTCTTGTGAATCACGCTTGGTCGTGTACAATTGTGTGATCAAAATTCAAGATGTCAAATTTTCAAATTTTCGTTAGAAGCGAAACATGGAAATGAATGAGCCAGGTCTGTTTTTTCCTGTTGAGTTTGGGATTGTTATTGAGAATGCAACAATGTGTATCCACCTCTGACGATAGATTTTTTCTGTTGAGGCTCTTTTGAAAGTTACATTCCTGCATTTGTGTTTATTGCTAAAGACTAGGCAATTCAGTTAAGGTTTCCATTTTATCATAAATTTTGATATTTGTGAAATTTGTGAAACCACTGTGAGGAATTTGGAGTCTGCAGGTTCTCCCAAAGATTTTCTAGTCTCAGGAGAGAAGTCTAGTTAGTGAAAATAAATACTTTGGTGAGTGTCTAAGATGAAAAGGGAAAGTGGCCTATAGTTTTGAACAAATAAGAAAAGAAAGCAAGTCTATCTTTTTGGGACTGATTGAGTATTTTTTTTGTATTTATTTAATTACTTTTTTTTATTTTTTTGGGTTATGTGTGTGGTTTAGGATTGGAATTAACCTATAAGACAGTGTGTTTGCAATTTATATCATATATTTTTATAATTTTGATAACTGTAATGGCTTGTAATCATGCATGTCATCTTTTTCCACAGGCAGCTAAGATTCTTGCCAACTTAATTGTAATGGGATCTGGCATTTTGGCTCGGGCTTTTGTTCAAGCCTACCGTCAAGCACTTGCAAGTAAGTGTTTTTCCTTTCACAGTTTGACTATCTGGCATTGGTTCAATAGGTTTCCATTGTAGATTAATCTTCATTGTTTTAGATTGGCTTTGTTAAGTTTGAAAATGCCTTCTAATCTTGGTGTTCTGAAGAAAGATAAGTAATAGTGCTTAATTGCTTATTTACTTGTGAGCTGAGGATGAGCCCATAAATTAGTTTATTCGCTGAATCATGTCAAACAGTAATTGCATAATGCGTTTCTCATTGAAGTTTACTAGAATGTCAAATGGCAAGATACTAGTTATAGTATCTGATAAGTATAATCTCAAGTTCGGTGGTGATTACATTATTGCCCAAGTGGTATTCTCATCACAATGATTTCCACTATGTGACAAGCATTAGATGGGAATAATTGGGCTTCCATAGCTTTAACCTGGGAAAGTTAAATTAGAGGCCCCAAGTTCAAATCATTTTGCAAATTATTTCTTTTTCCATGACCACTGCCCTTTCTAATTATGGGAAAAGGTTGGTGAGATGGTGCCAGATTCTTTGAATCTACTAATATAGGATTGAATAGCAATATCTTTAGCATAACCTTGATTTTTAGCGAACTATTATTGAAAATATCAGCAGTCAGCACTATTTTTCATGGCCATCTACGTCTACATCTATCTTTAGCATTACCATTTTCATTATTAGCATGATTAGATGCATACTGAATGTCTCCTATTTTTTCCTCTCTCTAGTTTTTGAGATCTTATTGTATTTGGGATTGTAGCATAATGAAAACAAATTTTGGAGCTGCTCATAATCATCTTATTATGGTGGTCCTTCAAGTTTCAAATCCCTAGAGATGCAATCTTTTTATTTTCTGGCTGACATGCAATCTCAATCTCTAATTGCGCCATACTAGTGAAAGGTGTTCAATGTGCGTAGATGGTTGTCCAGACATGCTTCCTTTGAAACACAACCTTTCTAAACTCCAAAACATAAGCCACTGTTTTTTTCCCCCATCTCCATTGTCTTCCTATTTACCAAAATAGCACTGCTATTTCCCGTGTCACTTCTTATCTTTCATTTGGACTTGAACGCAAAAATTGAATTTTACAAAATTTTAGAAACAACAAAACTGCGAAGTTAAAAACTAAGAGATGAATTCACTTCCTTAAAAAGAGTAATCGAGGTAAATATTTATTTCATGATTTTTTTTCTTTCTCCTTCTTTGTGGTGTGTATCCTGTCCAACTTTTCTAAACCTCCTATTTCTGTATTGCTTGTGCGATAATCTAAAACTTCAAGGGGCCTACGTATGCAACTTGGTATTTGCTAAAAGACATGATTTTGAACTTTTTGGGTTGAAATATATGGTTTTTTCTATTGAATTCCAGCTGTTGTTTCCATTACAGATTAAAAACTTTGCACTTAATAAATAGTTTGTTATGATATGAATCATGAATGAAAGGAAAAAAAAAAAAAAATCTTCTGAATCTAATTTATTAGGCAAGGGGTAATTTTGGAAAGTCAATTTTTATTTTTAGATTTGCTACTGGATTATTGCATTTGAACCTAATGGTGGGAATGCATAATTGATGGAAACAAAACTAATGGACCATTTAGTTTGATCATAAAAGCAACCGAACTGTATTTTGGATTTGGATCTCTGTTCTAATTAACAAATTTAGTTACAATAACTGCCATTCACTTTGTCTAGCTCACAAGTAGTCCCCTATGTTTCTTATGGTATTTCCTTCAACCTGTCCAATCTCTTGACTGGTTTGCCTGTAATCTGCTATTCCCGGATTTAGTAGGCTGCAAGTGTGCATGGGGATATATTTTTGCCGTTTAATCAGTAATTGTTGTCTAAAATGATAGGAAGATATTTTGAATTGTTCATTTGACATGATATACCCTGCAAATAATCTTGTTAAAGGATAATGAGAAAAGCATGGCATTATAAAAACATAAAATCCTCTTCAAAACATTTGACACTTGGGGTCTGCCGTAGCAGCTTTTCTACAAGTTTCTGATTAAACTCTTCTTAAATGATTTCTTGCAGGATCTTTGATCTTGAAAATATCTGTGTCAAACATTCACATCAGCATTATTTTACCGGCTTTGGTATATTTGCCAAATTTAGTTTCTTTGACTAAACCCTAATGTTTAATTCTTGCGCTTTTGTGTTTATGAAGTTTTCATTTCATTGCGAGGAGTACTCCCTTTATAAAGGGCATTCAGTTCTGCAGTATAGCAATTTCTAATTCTCTAATCAATTTTGGCATGCATATTCCGCACTATTTTGGTAAAAAGGCATGATTTATTGCTGCACTCATTTTAATGATAATTAATGCAGTTAGTGTCTATCTCTACATTGGCTTGTATGCAGATGCCTCAAAATCTGGTGTTGCCCAAGAGACAATTCAAAACACTATCCGTAAGGGAAGCAAAGTCATGACAGAACAAGAGGCACGACAGATTCTTGGTGTAACTGAGGAAACTGCTTGGGAGGAGATAGTAAAGGTTGGTGTCTCTTGCATGTACATTTTTAGATACATAATTTGGAATGGTCTAAAAACATGTTTACCTGTGCAGAAATATGACACTTTATTTGAGAGAAATGCCAAGAATGGAAGCTTTTACCTTCAGTCAAAGGTTCACAGGGCTAAGGAATGTTTAGAGGCTGTACATCGAGGAAAAGGCGAGGGTACACCTAGCTGAGAATTTTTTTAAGGCCCTTCTGTTGCACATACTGACCTCCTGTATTATTATTTTGATCCAATGAAATATCCTAAAAGGTTTGAAAAGAAATGTGATCTTACGACCTGCCATTTATGGAAAATTAACCTAGTGATTGCTAAGTGATCTCAAATAATTTGCACTGTCAAAGCCATAGGTGTTTGCCTTTATTTTATCGAGTGATGAAATTGTGTAGATGTAAAAAGCATTTGTCTAATCATTCTGTATGTGCACTCTTGTTTAGTGCTTAATATGCATAGGAGTGATCATTTGATCACAATTACAAAATCAAGGAACCCCAAGTGAGGAATATTTTATAAATTATGCTATAATTTACATATCCAAAAGAAAATTCCAATTTGATAGGACTTCTGTGTTTTGAAAATGTCTTCTCTACATATGTGTTTGTTTATCGTGTTGGGTTTGGATTGTTATTTTTGGGATTCCTTTATTCATAAAGCTCGGGGCTTCTTGAACTTTGAAAATGACAGTAAGCTCCTAAATATCACTTTTTGGCTTTGTGAATCTACTGACTTTCATTTTTTGTAATAACTTTATACTTGCAGAATGAAAAATGAATCAGTTTCAGAGAACCCTGCGTACAGAAAAAAGTGAAATTTAGGGGGTGTATAAGGTTATTTTGAAAGTTTAATTGTCAGAATTTTTTTCTGAATATTCATGGTTTAAATTATGTGTTTGGCTTTACTTAATGTGTTGCTCTGCCATTTTTATATTCCATGTGTGTATTGGAAGAAGGTAAATATTGGTGTATAGTTGCTTTTGGAATGCTGTAATATAAGATTTTATAAATGTATAAAGGAAGCTTTATAGAAGTGGTGTTGCTTTTGCATCTTTTGCATTGATGAGATGGTGATTCCTTCCATCTTTCCACTATCATCTTCATCTTGACATGCCATCTGCCTGCAATTCTTTCCACCTCTTTCAAAAGTATACAGAAAAGGCTAGGGAAATGGCTATTCCATCCTTCTTTACATAATCATGTAATCAAAAGGCTCTGCTTACTTCATTTTTTCTTTTTTTATTACTTTATATGAACTTTTATTTTGGTAAAAAATAAATGTAATGATTGGATTAGACCAGACAAGTGAAACCAATTACAATCAACCAAAATAAAATTTTACCTTTCATAATCTAATTAAACATTCTTTCCTTCTAATTCTGAATTATTATTCAAAAATGACATTTGGTGAAGAAAGTGAGTATAAATTATGATTATAACTAAATTTGAGGGATTAAATAGTTATTTTCCCATAAATCTTTCATCTAGTAGCAATCAAAAACAAAAGACGGGCGGATAGATATAGAGAAGCAAGCAAGGTCAGAAATGGCAGGCCGGTATTTCATTTGTATATTGGTTAAGAATTCAAAGATGCCAAGGAAGCTTCCAATGTTAAATTCTCATTGTGTCTTCCTTTCTAGAACTTGTTCTTCTCCTTCTTCCTTCTTTCTTTCTTTCTTTATTTTGTTCTTTTGTTAATATTTTCAACATGTGCAAAACTAAATAAAATCTTATTTTTCTTAAAATAAAAAAAAAGAATTTCAATGACTAAACGCATTGCTTTATGCAATATATGTACATAGAAAAAATAAAATAAAATTGCATATATTCACTTAGATTATATGGAGTTGATGAAATTAAATAAAAAAATTTTAAAAAATATGTAAAAAATGTCTAATAGCAAATCTAATAGTAATATATAGAAAAAATATAAAAAAATTTATGTTTTTACACAAAAAAGAAAATGAAGGAATCTCAAGAAAATATTTTGCTTGTTTATCTAAGAAAATATAATAATGAAGGAAAATTATAGCAACTATTGCATTTGCATGGAGAAATTCTTATCAATCCAAATGATTATAAAAGCATGGAATATAGCAACTTTCCACCTCCTCTACTTTATCATTATACAATGCAAAGAAAAAATATTAAAGAATAAAAGCAACATTAAAAAAATTAAATAAAAAAATGACACTAAATAATTATTTAGTTCTTTAATTTTGGCTTAATTAACTACAAGCACATTAATATGTTCTTATTCACATTTTTATGGTATGAAAGTAATTTTGTTTTTATTCATAATTATTCATATTTTTATGGTATGAAAGTAATTTTGTTTTTATTCATAATTTTTCATTTTCAATTCTCGTAAACGAGCCAAGCTAAACTCAAATCTATCTAACTCAAAATTTAGCTCAAACTTCATTTAAGGCTTGAATTTAATTTAAAAAATTTTCAACTCAAAACTCAAGTAAGTCTAAAATAAATATTATATATGTACATATAAAAGTTTGACGAGGCTCGATGAGTTTTTGAATTAAGTATCATTACACTCGAGTCTGGCTCTTACTTAATTCGAGCTTTTTTGAAATTCTTTCGAGTTTGAACATCCCACTGAGTCGGCTCCACTGATTTGTATCCCACTATTACATATGTTCTTGCCTTTAAAAAAAAAATAAATGAAATTAAAAAAAATTAATTTCATTTATGATCATAGTTATCCTTCTCAATTTATATAAATATTTTTTTCACAAATTCAATCATTACTCTTGATAAAGATTATTTTTGTTATTAAGTACTAAAAAAAAGATAAAAAGCTTCTAATTAATAATTAATTAATTAATAAAAAAACATTTAAAGATCAATCCCTCAATTCTATGTGCTTGTAAGTTGGGCTGTCTTTATATAAATTTTATTTTTATTTACCTTTTACATAAATTTAATTTTTAATTTTCAATTTTTAATTTTAAAATGTATGAAGAGAGTAGAAAGTAAAAATTAACAAATCACCAAACTCACCTACACAGCTGCCTTCCAGCACCACCAGCGACATTAACAACACATACATGTCTCTCTGTTATTTGGTATTTTTTTTATTTAATTATTATTATTTCTCTACAAAAATATTGTAATTGAATGCATCAAAGTAAATAAAAAACAATAATAATTATAATAGCCATGTTTTAGGAGCAATTACGCGCTTTTTTCTCTTCTCTCTTCCTCTCTAAATTCTCTAAAATTTTTTCATTTTTATTCTCTCTCTGTCTCAAACAGAGCAGTGCCAGCCAATTAGCTATTGAAGCGTCAGATCTGAGCTTTGCCTTATTGGGTTTTGATTTTGATCTTCTTTTGTCTACATCGGATCTGGGTTTGTTTTATTTCTCTATATTTCCTCGTCCTTCTCTTATTTCAGATCTATGCGTGTCTCTGTTCTGTTTGTTTAGTTTTTTCTTTGGCTTTGGAAAAAGCAAACCCTGCTTCAGTTGGTTCTAATTTGCGGCTTCAATTTTGCATTTGATTATGTTCAGCTTTACTATTTTCATTCGTAGGTTAGTAGGTTCTGATTTTTTTTTTTCTCTTTTGGTTAAAGGATCTAATGTTGATTTAGTAAATGCAAATCGGTAATGTGAGGCACATTGGAAAGGTTTCTGTACGAACTGTATCTTTGGGATGATGATTGATCTGTTAAGGATTGTTCTTATTTGTAGAATTTAAAAGCTTAAATCTTTCATTTCTTTTTTTTTTTTTTTTGATTGATTTTTTTCCTCTTTTGGTTAAAGGAATCTAATGTTGATTTAGTAAATGCAAATCGGTAATGTGAGGCACATTGGAAAGGTTTCTGTAGCGAACCTGTATCTTTGGGATGATGATTGACTGTTAAGGATTGTTCTTATTTGTAGAATTTAAAAGCTTTAAATCTTTTCCATTTTTCTTTTTTTTTTTTTTTTTGATTGGCTAAATCTGTAAATCGTGTTGGTTTTTGGGGTTCCATTTTTGTTAATCTTTCATTTTTTTTTTTTTTTTTTTTGATTGGCTAAATCTGTATCGTGTGGTTTTGGGGTCAATTTTTGTTTTTATATTGTTGATAATGTTTATTGTGTTGTAGGTTTACTTTTATTGAGCTTAAAAGCTTTTGATCATTGGGATTTTTGTTCTGCAGTTCAATTTCTTTAAAACTTACTATATTATTTGTTCTTGATGTTTAATGTGGAGATTTGTTTTTTATTTTTCTTTATTCATTTTCTTCTCAAGTCAAAATCAAATTTAAAAGAAATCTATGATTGGCCATAGTTTCTTTTATTAGCTATGATTATGACTAGGATTCTTGATTCTACCTTGGTACTTTGTTAGAGAGTTAACCTATTTTTGGAGATACTGGATCACTGTTATTGTTACTTTATATGTGGTGTAGGCTTGACTTTGATTACTTGATCCTATACATGGCATATAGGAGTGCTAACCAAATTTAAGTAATGTTATATTATTTTTGTTGAATTTCTTTTGGCTGGAATCTCTATTGGTCTACATTTAAAACTTATTTTGTTCTCACTATGAAAATCTTATCAGTTAAATTCTTGTCAACAGTGCATTAAAGGGGTCTTCGAATTGGACTCTGTGTCTTTTCAATACTTCTAATAGAGATCACTGCTTGTGACAATGAAGAAGGTCTTTGATCAAACTGTTAGGGACCTGTAAGTATGACTTTTTTTTATAGCATTTAGTGTCTTTGTGGTAAATGACTTGAATCTCCACATTTATTGATAGCAGAAGCTCATGTCTAAAGACGGTTCTGAATCAGGATGATTCCAACTCAGAACTTTGAAATATTGCATCCAATTGAACTTTACGAGCTTTCCTATGTTAGTTCTCCTTAATTGTATAACATTTGCTTAATGATTTCTTCTTCTCTGTGTTTTTCAGCAAAAGAGAGGTTAATAAAAAAGTGCTTAAAGTTCCTGGAATAGAGCAGAAGGTAAATATTTTCTTCCTTTTCTGTAAATTTTCTTGATTTCAAGGATGTGAAAGTTATCCTTGTTTCTCACATGGAGTTTAATTTATGATCACACGAACTACTATCTGTTCTTAGTGCAAATGCTCGTACAACATATGATTCTGTTTCCTTTCCTTCAGATTCTTGATGCAACTAGCAATGAGCCCTGGGGTCCTCATGGAACACTTCTTGCAGATATTGCACAGGCTACCAGGAATTAGTAAGTTTGTCAAATTAGGTTACTGATGCGTTTCATTATTTACATAGTACAAAGTAATTAATTTTAAGCATCCAATGCAGTCATGAATACCAGATGATCATGGCTGTTATCTGGAAACGACTAAATGATACTGGCAAAAACTGGCGGCATGTCTATAAGGTTTGAATTGTTTTCTGTGTATTTATTTTATGAAATATGGTATGCTTTTTTTTATTGTCTTTGTAAAATGCAAATAATGTAACTGCTACATGATCGCCTCAGGTGATCCTGTTTTTAGTTATGATATGAACTCTTCATTTTAAATGGATTCATAGTTCTTAATGCTATTAACCCTTTATATTGTTATATGTTACTTTTTTTCCAGCATTTCTTTGTAACGGATAACTGAATACTTGTGCCTGGCTTCAGGCTTTGACTGTTCTGGAGTATCTGGTGGGTCATGGATCTGAGCGTGTCATAGATGAGATAAGGGAACATGCATATCAAATATCAGTAATTTTCCTGTCCCAGAATTCCATTTTAGAATTATATTTTTTCGGCATTTATACATAGCAAATGTCTAATCATGTGTAATACTAATAATTTCCTTCTCCTGCTTTATAGACGTTGTCAGATTTCCAGTACATTGATTCCAGTGGAAGGGACCAGGGTAGCAATGTAAGAAAGAAATCTCAGAGTCTTGTAGTCCTGGTGAATGATAAAGAAAGGATAATTGAAGTTAGACAGAAGGCTGCTGCCAATCGGGAAAAGTGAGTTTTTTTCCCCTATTTTGGTACTAAAAATGTCATGTTTATTTGTTTTATCTTTTATTTTTATTTTTATTTTTATTTTTTTTTGGTGGCTTGCATCACCGACATAGTTGCTTAGTTCTACACTGTATTTTATGCAATGCTATTCTTATTGCATGATAGTCTGTTTCATAACATGAATCCTTCTAGAGAGCTTGAAAGAACATAATTGAATAACATAAGACTTCCCGAAGAAATTTCTGTAATCAAGATTGTCTGTTGGGGTTTTGATAGGTTCCGCATTGCTTCAGCTGGTGGAATGTATAGGCCTAGTTCATATTCAAGTACAGGAGGATATGGTGACAGATATGATGACGACCGTTATGAAGGTCGGCATGGGAGCAGGGATGAAGATCGAAATGGATATGGCTATGGAAGAGAAAAAGAATACAACTATAGGGATGATGATCGATATGGTAAATATGGGGACTCATATAGTCGTAATGGAGATCGATTTGGCAGAGATTCTGAAGAACGCTACAGCAGGGATGGATACAGGGATGATGAATTCCGGGGAAGAAGTCCAAATGTTGATGATTATGGATCCAGAAGCAGAAGTTCTGATAGAGATCGTGATTTTGAGGATGATGGTCATTCCTCATCTCGGTACTGTGTTTCTTTTTTATTCCGTATTAATATATGTTTACCATTTTAGCAGGTCTTCATGACTTAAATTGATAATGAAAACCTAGCCTATTAACTATTACTTAATCATAGATATCAGCTATTTTAAGATGGTCAGGACATTCTGTCTTGGTATCTTTGTTTTTTCTTTTCTTTTCTTTTATTAAGTGCATGCGGGACGAGTACAAACTTTCAAGGTTGGGTATTGAATTGAGTCATCTTGGGTCATTTTATTTCTATAATGGTTGGAATGAGATTGATGAACATTACCCATGAACATTATGGATCAACACATAGAGTTTAGGCTTGACATCTAAACTAAGTCAGGCATTAAAATGAAGGTCCCAAATGCGTAACACCTAGAGGTAGAATTGCATCACAAAACACAAGAAGCACGACCGGAGGTATTTTATTTGATAGCACAGCTGAACTAGAGGCATTACAATCATAGTTATTTTTACCAAACTATTAAACCTATGTGATATTGGACTTGTCAACTACTCCAAAACATCTAAGAATTAAGAATCTCAAAGTCCTAAGCCAACAAGGACTCTAAATAAGGCTTAAAAAGGATAAAAAGATTTCTAAGGAACTCTTGATAAGTTTTTAGTAATGTTTAAATTGAACCAAAACTAATTTATTTAAATTAAGAATCTAAATGGACCAGAAAGTATTCTCTATTGCTTCCAAAACAAACCTAGTATCACATCTTACCTTAACTGTAGGATTCTTGAGTGTAAAACAAACTTGAGCTGTTTTTAGTTTCTTTTTGCCTATGTAAGTATTGAACTTCGAGGGAGAAAACCGCCAGATAATTAAATTGAACAATCATCTATACCTCTGTGTAGATAGTCTAAATGGATAGCTCTACTTTGAAACGAGTACATGCATTCAAAAGATGTGTGGGAATAAATTGAAGTTTGATGCTTCAAAGTTTTTGAATCTATATGATATTAGATTATGTTTTTGGATGATTTCAACGTGTCAATATTAATTAAACATGTGCATAAATAACTAAATTCAATGTGTTCAAAGTATATTTTTGAATTATTTCAAGATGACAAGAAATCAACATGTTCAAATGATTTCAAGGGGATCTGCTGCAATTAGGAGAGCCATTTTGATTTGAGGTTCTGTTCACTTCTTTTAACATGCCATCTTGACTTATTGCTCAAGTTAATTTAAAAATTATAGTGATTGACGGGGAAGTATTATGAGAGAGCCTATTCATGCTAAGAAGATATTTTGAGAAGGTATTAGTGACTCTGGAGGGAGTGGTCCCTAACTCAATGCCTGAGAAATAAGTGACTTTTAGCAGGCTATACTGATGTCACAATAGGATGTCTAAAACAGCTCGTATACTTGCCCATGAACTTCTGCTTTCCTTTTTAACTTTATCAAGTGCTGCACTTGTCTTATATGATATTGATACCTGAAAAACAATTTATTTTTGGATTACCTTCTTGCAGTGGTAGCGGTACCAGAGCTGATAATCATCCACAGGATGGAAGGTAAATCTTAGTGGATTTGTTATTAACTTGCTGAATTTTTTTTTAACTAAAGTTGGTAAACTGTGCAAGATGTTAAACTACTTGTGTGCATTTCCAGGCAACTTGAGAGAAAGTTTTCTGAACAAAATATTGCTCCTCCTAGTTATGAAGAGGCTGTAAGTGAATCCCGAAGCCCAGCTCACAGTGAAAGGTATTAACTTTTGGACCATGGAAATGCATTAAGAATCTTCTCTACATTGTGTTTACCAATTTATTTAATTCTGATACTCTATTCATGAAAGGAATGGAGAAACTTCAGCGACATCTGTTCCTGGAATTTCTTCTCCATCAATTCCTAAAGCTTCTTCCCCACCTGTTCCTAAAGCTGCTTCTCCATCTGCTAGCAATAATCCAAGTCAAGCAACCACTGCTTTCAGTTCATCAGCCTCTCGTGTAGGACAGGGAGTTGAGGTGGCTGATGAATTTGATCCACGTGGTCCTGGTTCAGGTACAGAGACTTATAAATACATGTTCCGTGCTAATGCTGATAATTTTATGTTCCATTGACTGTACTTATCATGATCAAAATCTTGTTTGCTAAGATGGCTCATTTAACAGGGGTGCTAACGTATTGGGCCTAATTTCATGTCATTTGAACTATCAAAAAGTCATATTTGTTCATGTGTTGATGTTAGAGATCTATGGCATTGAAATGAACAGAAATTACCTTTCAGTCATAATAATGCTCTAGGCAAGCAACTAATTGTGTATCTTGCGGGTGTCCATTCATATGTAACCCTTTTACCATTGTATTGATTCATCTGTATTTGCCAAATATGGATGTGATTGAACATCCATTTGCATATGTTCAGGGTATTTAAGTGTGTATGTGCTGAACCATCTCAATTAGCAATAAGCTAGAGTTCCTTGATGCTATGATTTGGTTAGAAAATTGATTCTGAAACTTGTGTGTGAAGTCACAGAAGAATTCGACATTCTTTAACAAATATATCAATAATTGTGACAGGACGGTTAATTTTGGTTAAAATGCAAGGTTGGTCATTTAGAATTGCAGATGATTTCACCTAGGCCATAAAACCGCAATTGGTTCCAATTTCATCATTGAACTTTGATATTGTATAACTGTAGTTACTAGTTAGGGTGGACATCAGACTCAAGGCTCAATGGGCACTAGGTCCAGTGCCTGTACTTTTGTGGGCAAGCTAACCCATGCTTGCTTCTATTTCTTGGCAGAATGCATAATACAGTGCTTCTAAAATTTTTTCTATATTCATAGAAGTTCTAAACAATTGAATTTACAAAACTCTTTAGCAGTTGATCTTTTGAAATCATTTACATGTATTGCCACTTGTGTAAACTCTGAGGAACAGTTCTTTGTGTCAAAACTATAGAACCCTACTTACTGTGAACTGAACTAGTCTAAATGATAATGCACTGGGAAAGCTTTGGAGCTAATGATTTTTAGTGGCAGCACTATGATCCTTATGTCCTTACCATAAATCACAGCTTGTATTTGGCATGCTAGCTTCTTTTGAACTGCTGATAGGTTGCAACTGGGGCATTAGAGGTGGGGGATTGGGATTAGAGGGTAAAATGACTGGAATGTATGCTTGCTTGGAGGCTGAAGTGTGATGAAGACTGGTATTTGATGTGTGGAAAAAAAAAAAAAGGATTCTTAGGAGCTAAAGTTGGGCCTTTCTTGTTGTCTTCTTGCAAGAAACATATTCCAACATGAGCAACTAACATTTTTAATAATTTTTATGACAGCTGGCTTCATTGCCACTGCTGCTTCTGCTGTTGCTACTACCTCAAACAGTGGTGAAATGGATTTACTTGGCTCTCTGTCAGACTCATTCGCTGCAAATCCATTGGCCATCATGCCAGTGGCCCCTGTTTCTGAAAGTGAAAGCCAGGCAAACTTTTCAGGATCCACATTTGCTGGAACACAGCCGGCAGCTAACATTGTAAATCAGGTAACCATTATATGTTAACATTATAAATATGTAAATACCACATATCTTTCCTTTTCAAATTGCATGGACTCCAATAAGGGCTGCTGTTCAACTAGTAGACTCGCCAATGCTATATATGAAGATTTTGCCATATTTTCAAGTGCCAGTTGAAGTTGGACATGACTGCAATATGATGTGCTCTAGGTGGCATAATACATACATAGAAAGATGCCATGGAACATGTCATGGTTAGGATAGAAGTCTTCTGAAGTCTGGAATATTATTCTTTATTGTGGGGTGTGCAAACAAGATTTATTTGGTGGATGGATCCTTGTGTTGTCGACCCCAATCAACTTGAGTGAAAACTTTAAAAGTATATATTACACAAAAAGAACTTAAGGGATTTTAGTAAATTAACTCAAGTTATAAAAGAAATAATGAAATAGGGGGTCACTTTTGTATTTTGATGTGAAATAAGTAAAAAGTATTCAAATTGGGACTTTTTTTAGCCTCATAATTAACTCCCTCCATCTAAGAAGAGAAGTTAAATTGGTTCAGCTATAATTTTTTTCTTATTTTTCCATATATCTCCTTTATGTGCCTTTCAAAATAGGTAACCATTATTAATTGTTCACATGGAAAAGTGGAAAAAATATTTCTAAAAATATAAATGGGACTATTATTTTGGGGCACCCTTAAAGGAAATTGAGACTATAATTTTGGGGTGGAGGGGGTATAATTTTATGTATTCGGAACTTTTTAAGATTTCTTTTATGGAAATTATATTTAAATTTAGCAACTTCTTGATTGTTTGCAAATATTCTTTGAGACTGATTATTGTTTAATTTATACTTTGAATTATATATGTGTCTTTAGGTCTTATTATAGTTATTTATAAGTAATTATTTTCCATTGAAAATTATAAATTACAATTATAAATCGACTGATTGAATAAGTGATTCCATTGAAATAAATTCTGGCTCTGCCATGCAACCGTTATGCTTTTTGATTGGCTCATAATAATTAGGAAGTAAGCACGGTATCCATCGTGCTTGTAGATCATCTTGTCAATGTTACGTCTGCCGATGCTGTTTCTGGTTTTTTGTTTTCTTATTTAAAGAATGTAACAGTACTATGGCCTTAGCCTTTTCATTCAAATTGATGTTTACTGGATCACTCTTTAGACACTGATATGTTTAATACCATTATGTAATGAAGCTCATCTTTTTATCATGGTTAGATATTGTTTTTTTATGTTCTAGATTTTGCAATTGTAATTGCACAATATTTGTTTGATGCAGTCTTTTGAAGATCCATTTGGTGACTCTCCTTTCAAGGCTATCCCTTCCACAAATGATTCAATCTCAGCTCAGCAGACTGCAGCCACTGTTCAGCCTGCTATGCATCAAAATGCGGAAATGCCTCACACAGTGCCACAAGACACCATAAATAACTTTGGCTTTGGAGACACATTATCTGGGATTACTTATTCGGCACCTAATGTTCAACAAGCCTCAGCAAACTCACAGTTTATGCCTCAGGAACTTTCAACTTCTCAACAGGAAACAGATATTCTGGCAGATATCCTCCCACTGCCTCCTCCTTCACCTGCTTTAGCTACACAGACTGGTTTTTCACCGCTGGGAGGCCAGCCTGTTGAGGCAGGTGCCAATATTTATGGAAACTACAATTCAAAGGCAGGACCTGTGGCACCCGTAGGTCCAAATATGGGTCCTCAGGCTGCACAATTCAGCAGTGGAAACTACCCCCTGCAAGGAGTATCTTCAGCTCCTATCCCTTCAAACATGGGTCCACAAACCCTGGCTGGCCCAGGGACGCAGTTTAACAGTGGAAACTTTTTTCCACAACAAGGTTCTGTAACTGGATCCTCTCCACAGTTTAACAATGGAAACTTCCTTCCACAACAAGGCTCTGCTGTCCCAGTTGGCTCAACACCAGCTCAGCATCCTGCAACTGGACTGGTTCCACAGTTCAGCAATACAAACTTTCTCCCACAACAGGGCAATGCTGCACCAGATGTCTCACAATCTGTTCACCATAATGCTACTGGACCAATTCCACAAATCAACAATGGAAACTTTCTTCCACAACAGGGCTCTGCTGCCCCAACTGTTTCACAAGCTGCTCACCATACCGCAACAGGACCAACTCCACAGTTTAACAATGGAGGCTTTATGCCACAGGGCTCTGCTGCTCCAGTTGTTTCACAAGTTGGGTATCAAACTCCAAATGCCTCTACTGCTCAACACAATGATGACATCTTGGGCAACTTATTTCCACAAGGGCCGAAAGTTTCATCTCAGCCAGCTCTTACTTCCTCGACAGGATCACTTGCAACATTTCCACAACCATCCAAGGACAAATTTGAGACCAAGTCAACTGTTTGGGCAGATACACTGAGTAGAGGGTTGGTCAATTTGAACATCTCTGGACGTGAGTACTTTAAGATTTTTTGTATAAAGATATGTTTCAAAGGTCTTTTGATAATTAATTAATATTTTGTTGTGCAAGATGTAACATTTGTGCTTTTCCATGTGCAGCAAAAATCAATCCATTGGCTGATATTGGAGTTGATTTTGATGCCATAAATCGCAAGGAAAAGAGATTGGAAAAACCAACAACAGCTCCTGTTACATCTACTATCACAATGGGTAAAGCTATGGGATCTGGTTCTGGCATGGGTCGAGCCGGTGCAAGTGCTCTTAGGGCTCCTCCAAATCCAGTGATGAGTCCTGGCATGGGAATGGGTGCAGGCATGAATATGGGCATGGGTATGGGTGGAGGTCCAGGTCCTGGTGCAGGCATGGGCATGGGGGGTTATGGAGGCATGAATCATCCCATGGGGATGGGCATGGGAATGAACATGGGCATGAATACGGGTATGGGGATGAATATGGGAATGGCACAAGGTGGCCATATGCAACCTCCTGGAACGGCCATGCCTGGTGGTTATAACCCGATGATGGGCACAGGGGGTTACCCTCAACAGCCTTATGGTGGAGGTTATCGATAATTGTGAACCACTTTGTTATATTAAAGTGTAATCAATACCAGCTATCTTTGTGAGATAAAAGAGATGGCAATGGCACCGAACGTTACAATTGAACACAGCATACTAGTCTCATATACAGTTCGAGAATGCATATTTGGTCTATAGTTGTAATCTTTTTGACGTGGTGCTTGATGTGTATCTATCATCTCTATAAACTTTCTCACTATTGATTGCGAATCATTCATTTTGGGTCGGAAGAATCGATTTAGGCGTATTTGCTGATTCAGCTGTTGTGAATTTGTAATACGGTGAGCATAACCTTTCTTAGGTTGTCGACCCTCTTTTAGCTTTTCGCTTATATTTTTTTGTAACTCCTCAGATTTATGCTATGCTTGGCTGTTCAAAAATACAATAAATCCGAAAATTCATTTGTCTACCCATTTATTTATTTTGTGCTCCATTTCCTGGAACGAACGCAGATTTTAACATGGTTGTTTGTTTAGTTATTTTGTTCTTTCCTTTAGAATGAATGGGAGGTACTTGAATGATTAATGTGGCCTGTTTGTTCTCTTCTTTTCCTGGAATAGTGGCGTACTTTTCTGCTGATTCCCAGATTGGTCAGAATTTGGGAATCTGAAGGGGATAGAGGTCAGAATTTAATGACAATTTATGTGCTAGTCATATATTATTATTTGTTTTAATTTTTTTTATACATTGGAAGGCCTGACGACTTTATGCTGTGAACTCGTTAAATTAGTAAAAACAATTGTGGTAAAAAAGATTTGAAATCACACTTGTAATTGACAAGATTCGAATTCAAGATTTTTTCACTTTTCATATGAGTAAGAAGACTAATAAGATCAAATCTGGTTGACATTATTTGTTTTAATTTTAAAACTATATGGAATATTTATAACTAAATTTTGCAAATAAAATGCGATTCATACACATGGTTTATAATTTAAATTATAAAGATTTCACATTTTATTTTTTTAAATTTTTTGAAGGAAAAATTTTATTGTCCAATAAATGAATATATGTATCCTTATCACTGCTTAGGAAAAATAGTACTTCTTTTGAAAAAAAAAAAAAAAAAGAAATTAATTATTTTATTTTGCTAAAAAAATTTTCTTGTTTTCTCCCAAATATCATAATAGCCGCTCATCGGTTCGTTTCGAAGTAAAATCAGAGTAATTTCGCTTCGGAACAGCGGCTGAAATCGTCAGTTCACGGAACGGACCTGTTGTGAACCTTGTTCGGTTTATCCCCTGATCGTTGAGATTGAAATCGACTCGAAGACGAAGAAAAATGAGATTCGTTGGAACCGAACCTCATCGGAACTGGTTTGAAACCATATCAGAATCGGAACCAGGAGGATCCACCAAGTGAAATGAAGGGGTGTAGTTGATAAGAAGTGAGGTTGAAATATGTTGTCATGTCCTGATCAATTTTTAGCATTAGCAAGATCAAAGAAAGAGTAACAATTAAAGACAATGGCAATAAACCTTCAAGCCATTGGAGCCAGCAGAGATTACTCAGTCTCTCTTCCTTCTTCTTCACTCTCTGCTTCAAATTTCAAAAGCCAACGGTCATTTCTCATTCATAACAATCATAAAAACTTAATCTTGCAAAAATCAAACACCAATCTCTCACTTTCTGCTTCAAATTTCAAATCTCAATGGTCGCTTTTTACCCCTAAAAGTACAATCTTTCAAAAATCAAATACCGTTTTCAAGGTAGTTAAAAGCAGGGTAACTTGCTCTGCTGATAAAACTTCTCCGGCAAAAAAGTTGCGTCAGATTCTTGAATCGCCTGGAATTCACCAGGGTCCAGGTTGTTTCGATGCTCTTAGTGCTAAGCTTGTGGAGAAGACAGGGTTTGATTACTGCTTCACTAGTGGTATGTGCTTTTTTGATGTAATCAAAGAAAAAAAAGAAGGGTTTGGTTTGTTTTGAATGATAGACTGTTAAGGTTATTGTCTTTGGTAGTTTTTTGATTGTGGTTATGGATTCTATAATTATTTTTTAATTTTTAAGAATGTAAATTTGTGCTTTTATTGATATAATCAAGGAAAAACAAGAAATGGTTTGGCTTTATTTGAATGAGGAACTTTGAAAGTTCTAGTTATGATAGTATTAAATTTTGTTATCGGTTATTTCCCCTATAAGATTTGTAAGTTTCTATAGAGGTCAGATATATTAGCCATAAAATGCTTTGATTAGAATACTCGGGTTTTGTTAATTTTTTTTACATGTGTATATTATAAAATATGATAGCTCTAATTTGGTTGAAGCAATTGGAATTTGTAAGTGTGAATAATATTTCTCTTTCTACATTCTTGGCCTGATTTTTTTTTTTTTTAAATTTTGTATGGGTTGAATTGTTGTTTAAGCTATTTTTTGGATTCTTCATGCGATGCAAATTACTTTAATGTAATAAACTGAAAACACATATATGATTGATTTAAGCATATAGAAAATATATAGATAATTTTCTATTTTATTCTTTTATTCTAATTTTTTGTTTAGAATTTTTTTTATAATTTATTTTGCATTTGGTTACTTTATTTATATTTTCAAAGAGATAAACGAGTTTGTTTATTCCATGTTGTCTTTCCATTAGGATTTTCAATATCAGCTGCCAGATTGGCATTGCCTGATACTGGCTTGATTTCCTATGGGGAAATGGTGGATCAGGGGCAACTAATTACTCAAGCTGTGTCAATTCCTGTCATTGGGGATGGTGACAATGGTTATGGAAATGCCATGAATGTCAAAAGAACTGTCAAGGGATATATAAAAGCTGGATTCGCAGGAATCATTCTTGAAGATCAGGTTTTTATTTTTTAAATTTTAAGTGCACACAATCTCATGCTCTTTGTTTGGTTTTAACTTAGTTCTCAAAGCCCCTAAGCAAACTGGTCGAATTAGGTTTCATGTGGAACGTGTCTTAAGAGTTGAAATGAAAAATGGGAAAATGGTTTTTGTGTATTTGCCAATATCATCTAATTACTATGAAAAATTATTGTAAAAGCAATGAATAAATGCAATTCAGTATCTTTCTAAAGTATGAATAACTAAAACTTGAATAACTAAAGTATGAATAACTAAAATACTTGTTGCAGCCTAACTATTATGTGGGGAAAAGTGTTTGACACATGGTAAATTGTCCCTTGATTCTTATTACATTTCAAGTTAATGAAGAAGTAGGAGGAAGAAAAACTCAATTCATTTTCATCATATGGGAAAATATTATCAATTTCTATGTATACATGGTGATACTGATTGTAGTTAATATGGATAATCTTACCATTGTTTTGTCACCCTCTTGGTGATAACTCGAATAACACTTTTTGGTGTCTTCAAGCTGTTGCTTCTTTATAATGTCATAATTTGAGGACTGACCTTGGTTTCAAGAATCATGGTTTGAGTTTATAACTATACTTGGAAAATCTTTTTTTTAGCATGCTTCCTTCATTAACAATTTCTTTAGTCATTTATTAAGCTGCAAATTGCTGCTGTCTAGATTTCTGTTGCTTATAAATCTGGCTATGTAAGGTATCTCCGAAAGCTTGTGGCCACACACGTGGTAGGAAAGTAGTGTCTAGAGAAGAAGCAGTGCTACGGATAAAAGCCGCTGTTGATGCTCGGGAAGAGATTGGCTCGGACATTGTTATTGTTGCACGAACTGATTCTCGACAAGCAGTGTCCTTGGAAGAATCACTTTGGAGGTCAAGAGCTTTTGCTGATGCAGGAGCAGACGTTCTTTTTATTGATGCACTAGCTTCAAGAGAAGAGATGAAGTCCTTTTGTGAAATCTCTCCCCTAGTTCCCAAAATGGTATTGTTTCTCTTCTTCAAAACAAGACCAAATAGATTTATAAGATTATGTGAAGGTCTTAACCTTGTCCTTTTATGTCTATGAAATGATCATATAACACCTGAGAAAAATAATCAGTTGTAAGTTGCAGTTTTTATTTATACTAGTTTTTATGCAAAGCACATGGGATCCAACTTTAAAAAATTTGATTTATTGATGTATATATGTCAACAATATACTTTATAAATCAATTGAAGGTAATATCCATTAGCTATATTATATTAAGGTGTAACACAAGCCTCCTTATATTAAGGAATGGATATATAGTCAGGTTATACCTTTTGCTATAATCTGAAAGAGGGATATAAAATTTTTATTCATGCTTTTCTGCATAATTAAACAATTAATAGCATTACACAAAGTGCTTTACTAGTGTTGCTCATAAAATCTCTGCATTTCTGCTTTTCTTTCTCGTGTTTGTCTCAACTGCATGTTTTGCAAGTATTTATTCTGGTATTGATTTTCATGAAGCTAGCATAGCTGCTTATGATGGTAATGGTAATTTTTTCTTTTCCTAATATGTTTAAATGCTGATGATGGTACAACAGTTTGATTCCTTTTGAAAGTAATGTGAAGGATGCATGCTTTAGAGATTTAGAAATCAAAATTTAGTTTCCTTTTATAGTTCAGCAGATGTGTCAACAGATTATGGTCTTCTTCAGTCGATCTCAAAAGCAGCATTATGGTAAATGTCACACAGCACTGGCTAGAGATATCTACACTTTAAATAAGTTGTTGTTTAAATTAGTTCTTCCTGTTTCCATCTGTGCCCTTCTTTTACAATGTAGCAACATCATAAGACAAAAAATTACCGTGGATGAGCTGCTCCCGTAAATCCTCTGAATAACTTGCTTGCCAATGCTGCAAGGGAACCACATGCTTGAATTTTTACTGTATAATTTTTTTTCTAGTAGTAATAATGGAATTAACCATATTTAGCACTTCATATGAGTACCCTGGTAAAACCAACAGAAGAAAAGGGAAAAGTTCATTAGCATAGTGAAAACTTGAATTGGAAATCGAAAAGAGTTATGATGTGCACTAGTGCATAGTTGCTAAAACTTTTATATTCTTTATGCAGGCCAATATGCTTGAAGGAGGGGGGAAGACACCTATACTCATTCCTTTGGAACTTGAGGAAATTGGTTTTAAACTTGTAGTTTACCCTCTTTCCTTGATCGGGGTATCTATACAAGCAATGCAGGTCATATGTCTTCACTTTTGAAATAAAAAATAACATGTGAAAATGTCAATTAATATTCTTCTTTGATGACTAAACTTTGGCAATCCTGATTTCAGTAGATTAAAAGTGAAAATCTTCTAAAAACATTCATGATTACTGATTTTTTTCTTTTGAAGTTCTGACTTATTCTAATAATAATGCGTTAACATTAACTGCATAAAGAAGTCAACATGCATGACTTGGTGCTACTCTTTTCATTCCACAAAGAATAAGGAAATAAATATCGATAATTTCTCTAATACTTGATTATGGAATTCTGTGGATCTTAAGTATTGTTTTAAGTCATTGCTGTAATTGAGTGCAAAAGTATGCATTTCTTTGGGGATAACTGTTTTGGAAAGAAATTGAAGAATTTCAAAGCATTAAAAATATTAAACCTATAGCTCAACGTCCTAACTTTTGTCACACATTTGCAGGATTCACTAACTGCCATTAAAGGAGGTCGGATTCCTCCTCCTGGAAGCATGCCATCTTTTGAAGAACTTAAGGAAATCTTGGGCTTCAACACTTACTATGAAGAAGAGAAGCGGTATGCTACCAGTACCAGCCAGACACTTCGGCCAGGAGGTGGGTGAGAGTTGGACTTCTTACACCTTGAGCTGTCCTTTTTGTATGTGTAGTAGGAAATTTGCCAAGATATTTTTGCTTGCTAGGCGACTAATCATCAAACTACGCAAACTGTTTTTTTGTTTTTTATCATTTTAATGATATCTTCTCTTGAAGTTTACTTTTTGTTTGTGAATACAACTAAGTGGAAGTTGGATGTATTTTAAAGACTCCAACATAAAAGCTTAAAATGTTGTTTAGACAACATGCTCAAAACACTCTCTTACATTTAGGCTAATGGAAACAGACACATTAGGCTCCATAATTTAAAATGGGTTTCTGGTTACAAATAGAACTAAACTTTTGAAAAAATTAGAAAATCCAAACCTAGAATTTAAGCTGTTAGTTAAGGGGGTCCATATTCTACACTTTAACTGAAATTGGCTGTTTAAATAAGCCTTATGAACCCTTTAACAAACAACACACCTTACAGGTTTCTTCTGTTGCTAGTTGTTTAATAAACAATATCACCCTATTCTAGCCTGTAACTCAGTCCCATTAGCTGCTGAGAGTGGTTGTTTAACTCACTCTTATGAGCTCTTTGGAAAAAAGTATAGGTGTTGAAATCTTTGTAATTAGTGTAAATATTGTCTTTACTAGTTTAGGTTTATTCCTATTTAGATTACTTCCTATATTGGAACAATCTTTTGAGTAGAGATTGGACAATAACAACACAATATAGAGAAATACAACTCTCTTTTGAAAAACTACAATAGGTTCAAGGTTTCTTATTTGGACAATTCCTAACAACAGCATTCCAGGGAGTTCTTGTGAAATCATTGCTTTTGGATTTTGACCAATACTATCTTCTTTAAATTTCCTATATATAGACTTTATATAGGTTTGCTGGTTTCCTCTATCAACTTGCTGCTTTGCAAGTTTGACAAGTTGGATTGCCATCAACTTTTGCTAATTCTTAAACATATAGGTTATTCATCAACCAGCAGTTATGTGTCCGATATACAACAGAGGACTCCAGATGTTACAGAGCAGAGAAGTCAAAGTCCTCAAGATCCTGTTGTTGAAGTCATAACTCCTGATGTATACAATAACTATGGTGCAGATGGTTCGAGAAATCCTTTTTCCGGCATCTGGTCTCGGACACTGAGAGTCAAAATAACTGGAAGAGATGGATTTGAAAAACTTGACGTTAGAATTCCTGTGAGTCATCTTCCCTTACTGGTGCTACTACAATATAATATATCTTTGGTGTTTTGTTGGATTCCGTTTCAATATTGCTCTGTCTCACTGTCTATATTATAACTGCATCATACTTTTCCTGCCTCAAATGAAATCCGATTGTTTTCAGCTTCGCCAACTATGCTTTTCAGATGATTGGCCTAACTGTCAGAAATATAACCTTTTTTAATACTCTTTCTGTCTGCAATTATAAATCATTTTATAGTGATTTTTGTCCATATATATTTATATATATAAGTGTCCAATTTTGCACTTCTATATTAAATACATTAACTATTTCTATAATTTTCTAAAACTATCTTTAGTCAAATTAATGATGTGAGATAAAAGATATTTTAGTCAAATTAATAAATATTTTGTTATAATTTAGGGAAAGTAATTGCTTCTTTAATCACCATGCAAAAATCATAAATGACATATATTTGTGGACAGAGAGGGTACTTTTTTTTAATGAAGAAGTGCGGTGCTCTATACAAGCCTCCCCTATTTGACTAATTAACTAGACCAACACTTATCACTTGAACCATATTTCATTTTGTTTTATCTTTTTCTTTATCCGCTTTCCTTTCGTATAAATGAAAGTATTATTGATTTCATCTTCGCTTAAATTCTCAAGAAAGTAAGGCCAATGACTTGATGTATGCTAATTTATAATGGAAATTTTGTTTTTTGTAACACCATAGTTTTGATGTCCCAATAATATTTCAAATGTACAAATAAACCATATCCTGCAAAAACCATGTTGACTGTACATAGATGCATGCCCATTTATTTTGTTTGGTTTAAAGGAATTTGATGCTAAATGGGATTGATGCTTGACAGTTTGATTACATGAATCATATCCTCTGCTGCTCTAATTTTTCTTTTTCCTTGGATTGTATAAGAATTATTTATTCATCATTTTCCAGTCACATATTATTACCTTCAGTTTTCACATTTTTAACTAGTATTTCCATCATGCTCATCATAATTAATGCTTCACATTTACTGATAAATCTCTGCATCAACAATAAAGATGTCCTGGAATTCGTTTCATAAAAGAAACCATGTCCTCATAATGTTTCTTTCTCTTATGCGTATGTTGGCAGGCTGGGTTTTTGGAAGGAATTACAAACATCGTTCCAGGTATTATCCATGTCAAAATCAAAATCATTTGGAATCCTATTTTAGATTAGTGTGTGAGAGGTATGAATCAACTGTAACTTTTTCTCCTTTTTGATACACAGCTTTAGGGGGTGTCAACATTAAAGAACTCCTGAATGATGCGGCTGGAGAAGTAGGAGGCAAGTTGTTGTTGGATTTTAATGATACAATAGGTGACAGGATTCAAGTTTTCCTAGAATAAGCTCGTTCATCGAATAAGGTACCTTTATCTGCTGATAGTTTTAATACTCGAACTAAGGAAGTTAAACCATCTAAGTGATGTAGAACCCTAAGTTCTTACTCCAAATAAACTTAAGAGAAAAATGATGAAATAATGAACAATTTGGGCAAGAATGATGTTTTCAACTCTTTAACCACAAGATTTCTTTTTTCTTGTTTAATCTTTTGTAATGATCATATGGCAGAGAATTAAAGAAGTGAAGTGGGAAATTTTTCAAGTGGATATATGACCTGCAAATCTGTCAAATGCATAGCTGAAGGCTTTACGTGCACTCTAAATTCTGGAGGGTTCCTTCACATTCTTCCTCAGTTCAGCAACCAATATGTAGTAGCAGTGCAAAATTTCAAAATTCACCCCATATTTCGATTTTGTTCTTTATTCTAGTCTGATGAATTAATATATACATGTTAAAACAATAAATTTAAGTACACTTAATTAATTTCTCTCATGGTGAATAAATAATTAATACCTATGTAAGCTTAACTCCATTTCTCTATTATCTCTTTAAAGAAGCACAACCTCTATTATATTTTTGCTTGGTGGTTTCTAACAGAACAAAATTCTTACAGAAAAGGATTCTAACATGAAACAAAATCCTTACAGTGTGTTTATGTGTACTGTTTATCTACTACAACCTAATAAATGGAAAAGGAGAAAAGGAAAAAAAAAAAAAAGTGGGACTGGTATTCATGCCCTTAAAATATATGGAGTAATAAATTTTATTCTCAGTAGCCAATAAGAAGCTATTACCAACGAATTTTAATTTCAGTCACTTACCTTTTGTTTGGAAGAAAAGAAAATATTGGAGGAATGAAAATAAACAGTAATTTGGAACTAGAACCATAATTCAGTTCTTTTTAAATTTGGAATCCAAACCAGAACTTCGGAATCAGAGTTAAAATTGAATCGTAATTCTGTTCAATTCTGCTTCGGTTTGATTTTTTTTTGTTTTTTTTTGGTTCTGGTTTCTGTAGTTTCTCTATTAAGAATTAATATATACTATTCTCCATTTCAATATCATATTTTTAAACTAAAAAGAATTCTAATATGAAACTAAAATTACAATATATAATAATTAAAGAAAACCATTTATAATAATTATAATAATATATCATACAATACTAAATTATGATTAATAATCGATAAGTATTAATAATTTTTTATTTTAAATAATAAAATATTGAAAATTTATACTAAAATTACGTAGTCTTAATGTTGGTTAATCTAAAATCAAGTGATGGTAATATGTGTGTATGAAGGTAAGTTGTTGACTATGTGTGAAAAGACACTTAAAAACATTATAACGGTAGTTTGAATGATAAACGATCAAGTAGCAATAAAGTATTTGTGTCTTTTCATTGGATAAATAAGAATAAAATAGTGATAATCATTGTTAATTGGACACATTTTGTAAACAAGTTCTCAACTTTTACTTTAAAAAGCTGAATTTCAACTGCTAAATTGCATCGGTTAAACAATTAAACTTGCAAAATCATTCTATTAAACGCTTATTTTTTTTAATTTATTGAAGGCTTTTATGGATTGAAATAACAACGCGGACTACAAAATAAGGACAGCTCTACCCTTAACTTACTAAATTGATGAAAACACCTATAGTCACTTCTCGCATAAATAAAAAGACAACCGAGACCACCATTTTATTAGCATAAGTAAACAATTATTAACTAGTTGAAATATGCAAAAATTATTATTTCAATTATTAAAAAATATATATTTTAATAATTGTTGTTGTTACCGTGGAGATGTGTAATATTTGTTACAAAGTTTAAGGATTGCAACAGTTGGTGATGTGAAATTTTGTTATTTTTAAATTTTTTAATATTGCTATTTAATTATCAAATTTGAAGAGATTAAATTATAAAACTTTTCATATTCTGTATTTAATAATTAGTAATCATATAATAAATTTATTTTATTAATTAAAAAATACTTCTGTTTTCTTTCTTTTACAATAATTAATGATCCAAAAAATAAAATTTTTTATTAATAATAGAACTTTAATTAGTTTTTTCAATATTTAATAACCACATTATGAATTCATGGAATATTTTATTATTTTATAATTTAACTATCCTCTAATTTTTAAAATTCTTAATTTTCTTGTGAGTACTATGAAATAAGTACTACATCTTCTAAATTTATCATGCAAATTCTTGTTTTCTTTTTTACGTTCAAAATATTTTTAGATAGCAAAAAATATTAATATCTTGAGCAAAAGATACATGTTATTAACAATGTATGAAGTTTCTTTATTTTTCCATTTGGTTTGACTAATTGTTTTAATTTATAAAGCAACATTTATGTTTATTATTCTTAATTTAGCGAAGAAGGTGAATTTATTATTTTTAGTTTATTAATTTTAATTCATATCAATTATTTATAAGTTTAACCCGCAAGGTGCTCTCATATAACTAGTCAAAAAAAATTATTTTAAGAATTGTTGTTGTTAGTATGAAGATGTGCAAGGTTACCAAATTTAAGGGTTGTAATAATTTTTTAGTGAAAAGTACATGAGTAAATTTATATATTTGCATATTGTTAAGGGTTAAATATTTCCAGGTCCCTAAATTATAATGAAAATAATACTTAGATCCTTCAAAGTTTGGAGAATTATCTTGAAGGACCCAAATTATGCTACTGTTCAACATTCGAGTCTTTCCATCCAAAAAGCTATGTATGTTCCGTCAATATAACTAAAAAAAGATGATAATAACCTTTACTTATTTTCTTCCAAACCCTAAAACAAGCGACTCTGATTTCTACATCAAATACCAAATTTACAGAAGACGATCTTGATCGTTGATTTTCTCTGTTTCATAATCCAATAGTTCATTCGCAAAGTATGTGCATATCTTCTAGCATTTATTCAGTAATCAGCTAATAAAACTATTTGAGGAAAATATTTTATTTTTGAAAGGAATCCAAGGATTGATGCCTTTCCCATAATAAGCAATGTCTTTCTCAGGTTTTTCATGATTTAAGATTCATGGATATTAATACTATATTTATAAATACTCTTGTTTTGGCTCGAATCTTATACTCTCCAATTTTGCAATTCTGTGTTTTGAAATATTATTTTCAAACCTGTGTTTTATTCCAATGGCTACTCGCACCTCTTTTTATACTTTTCTCATCGTGGAAGGATTCTTATCAGTTCGGTTATTATCCAAACTAGAGTAACGACAGACATGTTGATCTCGACGATCAACAAGTCCAAGTAATACAAAAGCAAAATTATTAGGAAAAAATTCCATAATTTGTCGTTTAAAAAAAATTTCTCTCTCATCTATATTCCAATTTAATGCCATATTAACGGAAAATATACAGTTTTCTGAACAGAAGAACTTCAAAATTGAACGTAGCATAATTTAGATCCTTCAAAGTAATTTTTCAAGTATCGAGGGATTTAAGTGTTAGTTTGGCTGCAATATATGGACCCAAAAAATTTTTAACCCTATTGTTAATTATTGGTTAGTGTATGAGTGGTTTATATCGGGAGTAGGTAAGGAATTTTCAGGACTTAAAAGCTGGAATCCCGATAGAGCGAATGGAACTACCTAGCTAGGGTTATCCTAATTATCTACTACAAAGGAGCAAAAAGAAAAAACCATCGCTTCGCAGCTATGCATCTACCGGAGGATATCGGAAGAGACATTCTTTCAAGATTACCAGTTAAATCATTAATAAGATTCAGGTGCGTACAAAGATCTTGGGTCTCCCTCTTCCAAAACCCTAATTTCATAAACCAACACATCGATCGCTCGATTTCCTCCAACACTACCACTTTCATATTCAACCGTGGTTGCAAAGGATTATCCGTTTCAGCTATTTCTAACTATAAGCTGTCTGTAACTTCTTTTAATGTTCAACACCCTTTTTTAACCTGCGCAAATATTATGGGTTCATCTAATGGTCTTGTCTGCGTCTTCCTCTATTCTTCTCGTTACCTATATTTATTGAACCCAGCTACTAGAGAATATATCGACACTGCTTGTCCGTTTCCAGATGATAATTCTTCGGGTGTTGTTGGGTTTAGTCTTTTTGGGTTTAGTTTTATTGAGGAGCTTAATGATTATGTGATTGTGGCAAGTTTTTTTCGGAGCAATGACAAATTTATTGTGTATAAAAGGAATAGTAATTCTTGGGTAACAAAAAAAACCTCTAAGTTGCAATATGATGGCATAGACATTGCGTCTGATACCGTGGTTAAGGGATCCTTTAATTGGATAGCAAGTAAAAAAGATATTGGGAAAGTGATATTGTCCTATAATGTTGGAAATGAGGATTTTGAAGAGATAGAATTTCCTGATTCTCTTTGGCAAATAATGCATATTACAAAGTTGAAGGATTCACTTGCTATAGTTAGTGCTTATCGTTGGAATAATGTGCACTATGACTATGAGATTTGGGTTATGAATGAATATGGTGTAAAAGAGTCATGGACTAAAAAATTTATTATTGATGGGATTTTTGGATATAAGCCGGTGTTAACATGTCAGGAGAATATTGAAGGAGAGATTACTCTCCTAACTCAAAGACACAATCTTCCAGAGTTTGTCAAGTATATCCCCAAGAAACAAGAAGTCATAACTTTGAGCGGTGCTCCGAATTATATCTGGAGAGCTGATGTTTATGTAGAGAGCCTAGTTCCAGTTAGAATATCTTGATGGAAGAAACTGATTAGCGAATTGCCATTATCCATGTAAGTTCCAATAAGAAGGAGATGTGTTGGTTTTAGGAATATTCCTTCATGTTTGGCATTGCTTTAGGCATTGCTTTTAATCTTATATGTAACAAACTGCATGTATGTTTTGTTTAGTAATTAATAGTTTGCGAATCAATTATATATTATGCATATGAAAATCGTAATGAATAGGAGTTTTTCATACATATTGCGAAATGTGAGTATGTGATACTAGGATTTTCATATCTTTATCTTGGATTATTGTTACAATCTCAGACCTGTTGATTGCAATTTGAGGAATTTGATTATGTTTGTGACATAGCTGAAGTTAAGCTTTTGATTTAGGGAATTACTTGATGAATGTGTTTGAGCTGCAAATACATTTGCTCTTCTTCTCTAAGTTATAACCTAACTAAACTAGCTCTTCTTTGAACCAGGCCATTCTATTTGATTACGTTTGTGTTGTAGCTTAACTTAAGCTAACTAAGATAACTTATTTGATTTAGAGAATTACTTGTTCACTATGTTTGAAAATTTCTTTTTGCTGCAAATATATTTTGCTCTCTGTATTGATTAGCTTGCTGCGATTGTTGATTCTTCCTGCCTTTGTAAAGAGAGATTTATCTTTTACTAACAACGGGTATTTATCTTTTACTAACAACGGGGAGGATACTGTAGATACTCGTGACCAAACTCGTTTATTATAACGATAATAGGTTACAGGTATCTATACATCTACTTTCGTACCCTCTTTGTTATTAAGTTCACTAAACACATCTATCCCAAATCTATTTATAACTGTTCATATCCTCATTAAATTGATCGAAGTAGGGGTAGGGAAGGAGAGAGAGGAGTATCTTAAAATACCTATCTTGCTTCCATCTCTATACCAATGACTACATCCCTAGCCCTAAAAACATCCCTAGCCCTAAAAAAAAAAAAAAAAACTCTTATTTTATTTGTAGTTGATATATTCTAAAAACACTATCTTTGTTATATTATCTATATAATTTCTGTAACTATCAACTATATATATTCTCTAGAGAAAAATCATCATAAAGTTTATTTGTTTTGACAAATAAATTTTATTTTCTTTGACTATTAAGAATTTGTTTAATTTTCGCTATAAATATTTTGAAGATATCTTGTATATTAGTAATCAATTTTTTATTTTTCTATTTAAATATTAAATATTTATATTTTTAACTAATTTCTAATATTTTAATAAAACAATAGAGAATAATAAATTGTGAAAAATATTTTTCAAAAGTAAATTTTTCGTCCGAAAATAAATATAGCCTTATATTTGTTGTTGTTTTGTGCTTTACTGAAGGAAGACCGTTACCATTCGATGGATAGATTGCTACGTATAGACATAACATGTTGCTAATAGTAAATCAATGGACAATTAATTGATATATATATATTTTACTTTTCATTCATAGTACTCAAATATAAGTTGATTTTTCTATTTTTGATTAATAATTTTTATCTATATTTTTGAAATAAATTTAATACTCTTAAATAAGTCGGTTAATTTTTTATATTTAGTTATAACATCTTGCTATTACTTCTTTAAGAAATTTAATTAGTATTCTTCATTAAGGTTTCGGATTGAAGGAGGTGAGGATAAGGTTAAAAATCAGAAATAAATTGGCTCGAGTACAAAAAGAAATGCTTTTGGCTAGTTTAGATGCGAAAGGTCTCAATTTCGTAGTAAAATTTGTCGCAATTAAAAAACTATAAGTTTAGATACATAGATTTTATGAAATTCAATGATTATATATTAAAATTTTATATAAATTAGATTGTTTTTAAAATTTTTATATTGAGTACATGCATAATATAGTTTGAATATAATATTTGAACACCAAATTTTCCATTCAAATGAATTTACTATCGAAAAATTAAGAAAAGTAATAATAAATTATATCAATTAAAATTAGATTTTAAAAAATAATAATACAATATGATATAAAAGAGTAAAAGAATAATTTAAGAGTAAAAACAAGTAGGTATATATAGAAATATAAAGCCCGATTAAGCTAGGGAAATACCTAGAAAGGAGGAAAAGAAAAAAACTTTGCTACGCAGCTAACTTAATGGCAGATATTGAAAAAGAGATTCTTTCAAGACTACCAGTTAAATCTTTGATGAGGTTCAAGTGATTTTAAAAAATAATAATACAATATGATATAAAAGAGTAAAAGAATAATTTAAGAGTAAAAACAAGTAGGTATATATAGAAATATAAAGCCCGATTAAGCTAGGGAAATACCTAGAAAGGAGGAAAAGAAAAAAACTTTGCTACGCAGCTAACTTAATGGCAGATATTGAAAAAGAGATTCTTTCAAGACTACCAGTTAAATCTTTGATGAGGTTCAAGTGCGTACAAAGATCATGGCTCTCCCTCTTCAAAAACCTTAATTTCATAGCCCAACACCTCAATCGCTCTATTTTCTCTGACAATTCCACTTTCATATGCAGCCGCGGTACCAATGAAATCTTCTCTTCATCTATTTCTGACTCTGAAGTTATTCTATCTCCTGTTATTCTTCATATGCCTTTTTTACCCAACACAGTTTTTACATATATTGTGGGTTCCTGTAATGGTCTTGTCTGCGTCTTTTCTTATCTGTCCTTTTATTTATGGAACCCAGCTACCAGAGAATATACGAATATCGCTCTTCCGATTATGGATTATCTATCTACCAGATTCTTTAATGTTGGATTTGGTTTTTTTGCGGAGCTTAATGATTATGTGATTGTGGCAATTATTCGTTGGAGCTATGACAAAGTTATTGTGTATAAAAGGAGTAGTAATTCTTGAGTAACAAAAACAACCTCTGAGTTGCAATATGATAGCATAGACATTGTGTCTTCTACTGTGGTTAAGTGATCCTTTAATTGGATAGCATTTAAAATAGGTATTGGGCGAGTGATATTGTTGTATAATGTTCGAAATGAGGACTTCCAGGAGATAGAATTTCCTGATTCTCTTCGGCAAATAATGCATATTACAAAGTTGAAGGATTCACTTGCTGCAGTTAGAGCTTATCGTTGGAATTATATGCATTATGACTATGAGATTTGGATTATGAATGAATATGGTGTAAAAGAGTCATGGACTAAAAAAATTATTATTCGAGGGATTTTTGGACATAGGCCTGTGTTGGGATGTCAGGAGAGGTTATTCTCCTAACTCAAAGAAACAATATTCCAGAGCTTGTCAAGTATAACCCCAAGAATCAAGAAATCAGAACTTTGATCAGTGTTGCTGCGAATTATATGTGGAGAGCTGATGTTTATGTAGAGAGCTTAGTTCTAGTTAGAATATCTTGATGGGAGAAACTGAGTAGCGAATTGCCATTATCCATGGAAGTTCCAATAGGAAGGAGATGTGTTGGTTTTAGGAATTAATATTCTTTTAGCATGTTTGGCATTGCGTTTATATGTAACAAACTGCATTTGCAGTATTTTTTGGTTAGTAATTAGTCGTTTGCGAAATCAATTATTATGCATGTGAAAATCGTAACGAATAGGAGTTTTTCATACATTATTGTTATGTATTTGTCATATCTATTGCGGAATCTGAGTATGCAATATTAGGATTTTTCATGTTTTGATCTTGGATTACTGTTAACATCTCAGACATTTTGAGTGAAATTTCAGGAATTTGATTATGTTTGTGACGTAGCTGAAGTTATGCAAAAGGGCACAGAGGATAAATTATTTGATTCAGGGAATTACTTGATGAATGTGATTGAGCTGCAAATATATTTTGCTCTTCTTCTCTAACTTATAGCCTAATTAACACTTCTTTCAATCAGATTATTTGCTCCATTCTATTTGAATATGTTTGTATTGTAGCCTAGATTAAGCTAATTAGCATGGAGTCAAGGAGATAACTAACTTGTTTGATTTGGGAATTACTTGTTGACTATGTTTGAAAATGTCTTTTTAGCTGCAAATATATTCTGCTCTCTCTAATGATTCTTCTTGCCTTTGTAAAGAAAGAAACTTTGAGGTAAGCCGAAACTGTGATAGTCTACAATCACAGCTAATAACTACTAACGCTGGGGGTCTGCAAACGGGTGATTTGGTTTTGGATCTAACCGAAAATCGAAGTTTACTTTTTGTTGAAACCAAACTGCACTGAAGTAAGTTTAAAAACTGGACTGAATAGGTCAGTTTTTATTCAATTAAATAGTTCGATTTTAATCAAAAAATAATTATTTTGCAATAACCAATCTAAAGACTTGAGAATCGAAATTATAAAAGATTGAAAACCGAAAACAAAATGAATAACTGAAACCAAAAACCAAAAATAATTCAGTTTGGTTTGGCTTTCAATTTTTTCCAAAGTATGCTCATCCATAATTAAAACATATAATATTGCTGAATAACGGAACAATTTTATTTAGTGTAATTGACTAAATCTCCGAGACTGAATAGACGTTTTTTGTGTACAAATTTAGCCTGAATTGAACCCATTTTGGGTCTGCATAGGTGTGGCTAGACTTGAATTTCATGCTTTGAGATCAGTTTAGCTTGTTGATTAGAAAATGCTGCATTCTGATTTTAATTATGTTTGCTACGGTGCGTTTAAACTTCAATATAATTTGTTATTAATTTTAATCGAAATATTAATGTTAGGGACAGTGAAACCTCCGTAGCTCTAAAACACTCGAAGCTATGTGGCGATTAACCAATACATGATTTAAAAATTTTAATAATTAAATAACTTATTAAGAAAATAATATATTTATAATAATAAAATGTTATTATAATTTGATAGCCAAATTTTCATGAAAATAAAATTACTTATTAGACCAATACATGATTTAAAAATTTAATAATTAAATAGACTATTAAGAAAAGTAATATATTTTAGAATATATATCATAAATTGTTATTGATAATTTGATAGCCAAATTTTCGAGATAAATAACAATTACTTATCAATCAAAAATTTTTCTTATAACCAGATTTAAAATTAATTACATTATAATTTTATATAGTATATAATAATACATAAAAATGTTAACTAGTTTAAAACTATAAGACAACAAGTATTAGCTAAAGTAACAATTAATATGTGTTAATCTCATGTATTTTTAGGAGCACTCATTTGTAATTTTTAATTTTTTTCTTTGTTTTACTTTTTGCTAGAGTTTAGTTAAACATATAATTAATTTTATACG